TGGAACTCTGAGAGGTTCTTGTCAAATGTCTCTGTTCACTAGGAACCTCTGCCTGGGATTTGATCCAAAGGGTGAGGAGCGGCACCCACACTCATGGCAGTTTTCTTAACTCTTACCAGGTGAACCCTGCATGCTAGTCAGCACGGAGAATTTATATCCCTTACCTTCTTTTTCCCTATGCTAATCAAAGAAGGGGAGTGGAAAGCGGTCTTTGGGAACACGTTCTCATCACTAAAACCTCACCAGGAGAGTTAGAGCACTAGGAAGGCAGTATTTGCCGCTGGGAAAATGAGGCCACAATCTCAAGTGGGAGGGGCCTACAGGAAGCACAGCCTGAGAGTGATGGAGAACACTGTCAAGATGATGATTTTTGTGATTTTCTTCTCCCCCAAACAGAAATACATGGGGTCAATAAATTACAAAAATTATTTAAAATTACACAAAGCAAGACTTAAGTCTTGTCAGGGTATAATTTTCATTAGAAAGAAAAAGTGCAAATGGATAGGTACACCCAAATATTAGAGTTTTCACTAAATATGGATTAAGAACAGACTACTGGAATTTATTTGGGAAAATGACTTTTCACTAAAAAGCAATAGTTAATTTTAATTCTGGTCTGTACAGAAATTATTGATTTTCCTGGAAAAATTCTCATAGACCAAAATAAAGCAATATTTATCAATAGATAGGTACTGAACCCAATACTGCTATTATTTCAAATAAAATGCTTACATTTATATCCAACAGGGCATATAGAGAAGGGGAAACCATAATTATTAACCATTAGAAAATATTTTATTTATTCTGGAAAATGACTAAGCAGGAGAATTAGAATAATGTCTTCTGCTTTAGAGGTGAAAATAAAAACTCTGGACATTCAAAGTCCTATAAAAGAGACAAATACCCAAAGACAGTCCAAATTATGAAAAGTATTTTTTATTTTTCATTTTTTCCAAGAAATGAAAACTCATAAATCAAAACGTTCTGTGATATAAGAGCTTACTCCATGTTTCACGTCTCTTGGCTTGCTAAGCTGATGAATTTTCTAATACTATTTTCATCTTTCTGGATCAATACATAGTTGAGGAAGTTATTTCTAAATTGAAAACACTAGTAAAAAATGGTACTACTTGCAGAATAGTACCATTTGTAGTGCAACAATCAAACTATTTGCTTTTATTTTTCAGTTGTTTACTAATTCTGTCTTGATTATGGAACAAAATATTGTTCATGCAATTAAAATTACAGGAAGAAGAAATTTTGTACTGTGAAGTACAAAAAATAAAAATTCCATTTTACAGTATAATTTTATTATATCATTTGAAAACAACTCATAGAAATATTAGAAGAAATATTATACTCATTTTACAGTATAATTTTATTACTTCATTTGAAAACAACTCATGCTGCTACTAATTACCACAAGCCATTATCCTATGAATATAACTGGAATGTCAAATTTATCATTTTATGTTTTAATAAACAAATTTGCCACACTTACAAGTGGTATTTAAAAATGATTACTGATAAAAACTTTCCCCTAAAAATTATAGATTCGTTTTAATATTTAATTTACTTCACTCACTGCACTTACAAGATATATTTCAATGGGCTGATATCTCTTCTAAAGTTTGTTTATTTAAGTCCATTGGGACTTTTTTTAGACTAATTTGTGGCTTTCATCCAGATAAAATATAGTCAGGGTAAATAAACCTTTAAAAGAGGTTGCCAAATAGCAAAAAATTATCAACTAAAATCATGTTTCTGGGACTATGGCAAATTATTTAATAATTTCAATAAAATATTATTCATAATCTAACTTGCTAAAAATTAACACATTTCTTTGGGCAAAAACCATAAAAACTTTCATTGTGATTTATCCTTAATGTAATTTTTTTAGATGTGCTTGCTAAAATTTTTATTGACTTGCATAACAGAAGAAACATAAAATTCAATTCAAGTAACTGAATTTTACTGTTTTTACCAAATATTATTCTATGCTAATTTGAACTAAAGTTCTAAGAAAGATCACTTAAAATACTGTCAAATTACTATAAAAGTAATATATTGTTATATCTCAATTAGATATAATTAGATATAAAATAATAAAAGTAAATGAAATTATTTTTTAGGTCACATAAAATTTTGAAAGTTAATATATTCTGACAATTTTTTCTGTGAATAATGAAAAAATGGACTTTAGATTTATATAACTTGTATTAGTAGCATAATATAGCCTTCGCTTTTGCAAGAGAACTTTTCAGTGACTCCATAATTTCTAGTTTGAACAACTATAAGCATTTAGCTTTTAACATTACTTATCATTCATTTCAGCAATTATTTAACCAACTTGAGAAGCATGCAACAGCTAAGAGGTCTGTTTTCATGTTGTACTCTCCACAGTACAAAATTTATAATTTACCAGTTATTTAACAGAAATATTATAAAGTGTTTAATTATGGATGAAGGATAAAATGTAGTTTCCTGCTCACTGCATTGAACATCAAGTTATTATCTTCTCTTTTCCATAAACAGACAGCCTACCTTTTTGTCAGCATGCTATTTCATTTATTTCACAGAGAAACCCAGTTTCACAATAATTGACTTGTCAGAAGCTCTAATTTATGAGACTGGGCTCCGTAAGATTTCTCTATATTGGACTCAACCTGCACACAAGCAGGGTTGAATATTTACAATGCTGTTAACAGGTGCTGAGTTGTTTAATGATTCTAATAGCCAGAAGCGTACTGAGAAAGCCAGCGGGATCACAATTACAGGCTGTTTGAACACAACAATTACTAGTCCCCTGAGAGGTGTGAAAGTCAAAGGCAGTTTGATACTGACAGCATCTAGCACATGGGGTAGACAAGCTAACTTCTATTAGCAGTCCATTGGGAAAGGGTCATAACAAACCTCTCCCTATCATAAAAATTTACAAAGTTCATAAAATTTAAACAATCAAAAAGTAAAGCAACTTTTCAAAAATTATCTTTAAAAGATCAAAGGACAGACAAGAATACTACACAAGAAACCTCAAGTTATCTCTTCCTAACCTTAATGTTGATGAAATTTCACCAGTTGAGAATGAAAGAGATTTTATAGACATGTAAAACATAGATAAAGTTACATCAAACCATTTGGATTTAATGTGAATAGTGGCAGCCATTTCCTGTTTGGTTTATGTAAACCTGGCCAGATATCTTTCTGGGAAATTTTTCATCAGAATTGAAACGCTGCTGCTATAACTGTCAGTAGTGGGAAGTCATTTGTTACAGCACCATGTTTTTTTATGTTCAGATTATGCAGCAGTAATAATGACACAAATAATGAAAGTGGTTTCAGGGACAGCTGAAACTACTGCAACATTTTTGCTCCAGAAATATTTAAAAGCTTTCTCAGGGGAAAAACAGAATAAAACTGAACATACAAATTGAATCCAGAACTCAATTTGGAATATATTAAATTTTATGAAAGCAGTACATGTGTTCATATACATTTGAACAGGCTTATGTAGGTATATATGTGTCTACATACATATTTAAATGTAATTATTTATTGCTAAGTGCATATATATTTGTGTGTGCATATAATATATATATAAATATACACACACAAAGGAATATAAATAGATAAATAGTGACCCATTCAGCAACAGTGGTTGAATTCTTTGCCAATGTAACCTTTACTTTTGGTGAGGTATAGTGGGGGCTTTACAGTAGTATGATTAACTGAAGGGAGTTAGAGAATCAGGCCATAGTTATTTAGCTACATGTGACTATTTTAATGAGAGTCTTTCTTTTTAATTGTTAATAAACCTCAGTCACTTTGTTAAACATATATGTGGGCAGATAAGAACGCATATACACCCCTCTTGCCTAAGAACAGTCAAATCTCAATTTATACCACTAGATGATAGTGAGTATTAAGGAAAAATCAAAACTAAGCATAATACAAGTCCTTCATTAGAGGCATGATTTTTAGCCTTTTGAAAACTTTCATTGCATCTGAAAATAAGAAAAATTTACCAATTTTCTGAATCCCTGTGACTTTCTTTGCTTTTAGTTTTGGAGAAAGATAATAAGGCATAACAAAGAAAGATAAAAAGGTATAACAAAGGGCCAGTCATGAAGGTCTGGAGAAAAGGGGACCCTTGTACACTGTTGGTGGGAATGTAAATTGGTATAGCCCCTTTGGAAAAAAGTATGGAAGTTCCTCAAAAACCTAAAAGTAGGTCTACCACATGATCCGGCAAGTCCTACTTCTGGGTTTATATCCAGAGGAACTGAAATCAGTGTGTTGAAGAGATGTATGCACTCTCATATTCACTGGCGCATTATTCACAATAGGCAAGGTATGAAATAACTAAGTGTCCATCAATAAATGGCATTTTTAAAATGTAGTATGTAAAATCAATGTGATACTATTTAACCTTACCAAAGCAGGAAATTCTGCATTTGCAGCAACATAGATGAAACTAGAGAATGTTATACTATGTAAAATAAGATAGGTAGAGAGGGACAAATATTATATAATCTCACTTATATGTGGAATCTAAATAAGTGAGAGTCACTAAAGTAGAGAGTAGACTGTCAGCTACCAGAGGCTGTGGATATTGGGGGGCTGGTGT